TCTCTGCCAGAGCCCAGGGTGTGAGGTCTGGGAGGAGGCAGGGTGTGCAGGGAGCTTGGCTCAGGCCACCCTGGGTGGGGGAGTCTTAGTGGAAGAGGAATCAGCACCTCCTGTGTTTCTCTCTGAGCAGAGCCAGGATGCCACCAGTGGCCCCAGGGTCCTGGCTCAGAACAAGTGAGTGTCTCCTACTGGGGCAGCCATCCCTAGGCTGAGGGGTCAGGGCCGGCCACTGCCCCTGAGCCTCTTCCCCATCCACCTACCTTTACCCTGACCCCGTGTCTCCAGCCCTAGGACGTGCTCCTCCGATGACATCCAGAGGGCCCTGAATGAGGTACCGCAGACTGGGGCCAGAGGTGGGGAGAGGGAAGGACACTTGGGTGATAGATGTACTTGAGGTCGCCAGTCCCCCCGTCCACTGTCCCCTGTGCCTTGGGCAGCTGACAAAGGTGAAAGCAGAGAAGGAGGAGCAGGACAGGAAGGTCAAGGAGCTAGAGAAGAGCCTGATGGACCTGAAGGCAGACATGGGTGAGTGAGCACAAGGCTGACCTGGGAGTTGGACCCGGTCTCTGGGCTGTGGCTGTGGCTGTGGCCTGCACTTTCCTAAGGAGCGACGTACACTCAAGGGATGGGGCAGAGAGAAAGGGCTCTGTGACGGGAGCTGGCAATCCTCTCATCTGTCTGAGCCTCCTGTCCCCATCTGAGAGATGGGTGCTGTGCCCACTGCCAAGCCCCCTGAGAACCTCAGGGGAAAGTGGCTTCAAGACTGGCCCTCATCTGGGAAGGAGAAATCATTCATCAGGAAGCCGAGGTGGGGCAAGGAGCCTGAACTGGGGGCTGAGCCCTGAGAGGCCCAGACTGTTATTGCTACTTCCCTTCTCAGCTGTGCCCCCAGCCCTGCAGCCCCCAGCCGGGCCCTCTGAGGAGCAACTGCAGCTAAAGTGTGAGCTCCAGCAGCTCAAACACCAGCTGGAGCTTGTGTTGGAAGAGCTGAAGACACAGAAAAAAGAAACCTGCAGCCTGTGTGTAAGAACGGTGGAACAGGCGGAGCAGCTGGCCCAGATGCAGGACAGTGTTCTGAGGCAGGTGCGTGGCCACTGCTCGCTGGTGTCCTCCCTGCCAGGTCCTTTAGGGCAGAGCAGCACACTTAGCCCTCGGGGTCCTTCCCCCCTCAGTTCAATGGGGGCACTGCAGCCCTCAATTGTGAAGGTGTCTTGTGAGCCAGAACCCTGCTGGAGCATCTGCTGGGGACAGGGGACGATTCTCCATTGTGCCTGCCCCAGGGACACTGAGGTTGGGTGTTGGGTCTGGCTGTATTGGCGGCATTGATTCCTCTTCTCTGTGGAGTGAAGACAACCTAAAAATGGCCAGTGCGTTGCAATCGGAGCAGCTGGAGAGGAAGGAGCTGGCCAGGAAGCTGGGCCAGCTGCAGGAGAAGATGGTGCAGCTCATGGCATTGGTAACTCCCCGCCCCGTGAGACTGGGCTGGGACAGAGGTGCCGCCCATGGGGAGGGGAGGGGAGGTGCTGGGCCAGGACCAAACTCCCACAGTGGGGGACAGGTGACCCCAGAGCCCTGCCCTTCTTGCTGAGCAGTTCTGTGACTGCTTCCTGCTCCATGCCTCTGATGGGTAGATGTGGGTGGCCCTGGGCTCCTCCCAAGTCCTGATGTCAGTGTCCCTGCTAGAGGCTTGAGAACCCTGATCCAAGGAAGAGACAGGCTGGGAGAAGAGGCTGCTTGAGTCTGAGCTGCATTCTCATCTCAGCTGCCCTGGTCACAGTTTCAGTGCCTCCATCACCACGCCTGGGTGTCCACCACCTGAAGAGGATGTGAGCCTTTTCCCCTCGAACTGGTGGATTAAATGAGACCATGTGTGTGAAGGAAGGGAGGCTGGGCCAGTGCTTAGTGGATGTGGGCTGGCTTCCTCTGATTCTGCACAGCTGTGGTCCGAAGTCCCAGGGCTGGGAAAGGAGGTTCTGAGGCTTGAGGCTGGGTGCAGAAGGCC